GCCAATCCCTGCAGGCATTTTTGCTAGGGCATCATTTCAAGTGCCACCTGGCACTTGTCCTTCATTACTGCATTATAACTTTGTTATTAGGAAGATGATTGCATTGGAAGTTAGAACTGAAATGTAAGACAACCAACTTCTTAATTGCACATGTTGCCATGCCCATATGTTACTACTACTTAAAAAAATCTTTTGGAGTCAAATGCTGCTTGCTTCCATGATACTTTGAGGTTGCCAATGCAATCTGAGAAGCCAGAAGGAAGCTGAGACTTGTGTAGTAGTAGTACCCTCTGAATTTACTGACATACAACGCGTCGAAATGGAAATTTTTTTCAATGCACAATTTGCAATACCATTTTTTTTTCATCGTACGGCGCGTGGATTGGATATTATTATAAACTCTGCTGCAGATGATAGGTGTCATTCTGTTTGCTGAATTATGCAGCACAAGTTGGACACCTCTGGTGTCACTTGATGCATGCAAATTGGGTGAGTCACACAGGTGAGGCAGAGGTTCTGTATATATATATATATTCATAGGAGTTTGTCTGGTGATTATTTTACTTGTGAATCATTCATGCCTTGCTTGTACTATGTCATCCCTTAGGAGTGCATTGGCATTGTGCAAATGCAATTATATATATTTATATATCTTGCAAACATTTATAACTGGGATACTGGTGAGCTGCTGCTGAATTGGAATCATGGAATATTAGCATCATCCCCAACTATATTCTGATCTGCCACAGTTGAACTTTGGGGGTGATAGATAGGCATGAGATGTGCCCCCCAAATATAGAATTGCAGATGGGTTGTGATGGTGTAGGGGCTTGAAGGGACATGAGAATCAGAGTGAGCAATATACTAGTGAACACCCTTTAATTTTGTGTGGTGAGTGGTGAGTAGGACAAAATGCCTAGCTAGTGCCTGCTTGTGAGGCACCAAAGTGAGCTCCTGCTTCCTACCAGCCATCCCTTCCCTGCCATGAAGGGCTATATTTCTGAATCTGATAGCACCATTCCATCCATCTCATCTCCTATCTGAAAACTGTGATCAATAATGCACCCTGTACTGTTCCTTCTCATAACCCCAGTTGTTTTTTTTTCTTCACACTGCAAAAAATGCAATGATGTAGCATATCATGCTTTTGTTTGTCATTAGTAGGGGCTGTTCCCTAAAGCAAGGGAATTGGCTATGCATACATGACAACAAAATCTGCACACTTTCAGGTTATTGTCTGTGACAACAGATCATGCAACTTCATTTTGTACACTAGGCTAGATTGCTCCCCCCTCACATCTTTTCAGGTCACATTTTGCTAACAAAAGGGCACGCTTTGGCTGTCGAAAATGACATCGATTCTTACATACTACTCGTGTCTATTGAATAATTAGAGTGGGAGAGGATGTACTGAGTAATTGTAATTGGATAATTATGTTGAGGCTCAACGGGCCGGTAGACGTAGAGTATAAGAGATAAGAAAGGTGAACTAGAGATAAAGATGACTATGAAACGAATCACTTGTATCCTAATATCTCTTTAACTGCCATATACTCTAACAGTGTCGGCCGAGGGCAGCTGCCATGAACAAAGGGAAGTGCAAAGGATAAAAAAAAAAATCCTTCTGAAACATTGGAGACAAGATTGCACATCTTGAGAGGCTGATCCCTAGCAATAATGCCATGAGCCATTGAGAAGCACATGGCTCCCTCCCTATATATTTTATCAGAGGCCAGGTAGCAGTAACTGCAGAGCAAGTAACCAGGTATCCACCTCTCCTCTCCCACATGCCTTTCAAGGGGACCAGAATTTACACACATGACACAACCAAGCCAGACCACTCTGAATTGCACCAAATTATTGGAGATCTCCCAAAGATCAATGAGTTGTGGGGGGTCAGAACTCAGAAGGGGACCCCCCCAATCTCATCTCATCCTCCTTTCCTCCTCCCTGCAGAAGGTTTGCAGCCAAATGGCAATGCCAAGCAAGAACACACACACAAGAAAATGAGAGGAAAATGTCAATCAAGATGTGCAGCAGCAGCAGCAAGCAATAGCAGCAAACTGAATTGGCATTGTCACCCACAGTGGGCTAAGCTAGCTGTGCTTCAGGATCACCTGGTGAGAAAATGCAACACAACACAATGCAATGCAATCAAGTGTGGTGGCCATTTCTTGATGAGAGGAGGGGCTTTTCTGCTCTGTTCATCAATGATTGATGGCTTCCATTGGACCAGTGATTTGGAATGCCAGGAAAGAGGTGTACTTTTATTTTTTTGCCCGGTGTACTATATAATAGGGCCTTTTGGCTTTGGGGGGCTGCCTGCATGCTGGCAAATATGGGCACCCCTATCTTGGGACCGTCCGTCTTTTAGCAACCTATCCAACGCAAACATCGCCATCCACACTGCTCTCTACCTACACAATGTCCCTCCCTCCTACCCAAGATAATTACTGCCTTATTTTGTTTAGCATGACCACTTTATTTTAAGAAAAATCTGAAAGTTTGTGAATTGAGATGTTATTATACGATGGTCTCTATACTGTAAAAATTGTCATTGAACCTTTAGCAAGGATCATGGTACGTTAGTTTAAACTTATCTGAAATGGGTATGTTTATTTGAGATGGTACCGGAAGTGGTCGCATTCTCTAGCGCAAAACTTGATATCTCTAGGCACCAAAATCTTTAGTGCACTACTGTAAATTTCTGATCCAAAATAATGAAAATGTAATTTTTTTTAGACTTGTAACATTTTTTTACCCAAGAAGTTTTCATTTGTGATGTCATACAAACTTTGCTGTCAGTAGTTTTTTTTTAGGAAAATATATTTATGCCATTGCTCAATAAATAATTCAGAGAGATAGAAAAGGTGCAGCACATGTATAAAAAACATGCCACTTCATTTAAGTGGTTGGACCAGTAAACAACCACACACACACATTTCATTATCACGATATGGTCCAACATAAATCAAATCAACCCTCTGGTAGTAGTACATGGATGTTTTGCCGTTGAATTGCTGGTCGAAAAGCTCATCAACCTCTTGGAAATTCTGTGTTCGATGAGTTCTCACTCCTCAGGATTCATTGGGCAAAAATTACTTCTTCTTAGCGTGCAAAAGAATTCGAGTTCGACATTGACCTCTCTTGTTATTTTCTTCTTCTTTCTCAACCACTCCTGCATCATGTATTTTGGACATTACTAGTAGCTTACAAATTCCGTCGTTATAACCCAGCAAGTAAAGCCTGGTTCCTGGCGTTGAAGCGTGTAAGTATATCGTGTGCATACGAAACCACTTTGCCTTGTCAACAAGAATATTTTCTTTTGACCAGAGTCGACATCAAGAAGTCATACCTCTAGAAGTAATAAAATGACAAACGTCTCGAACGAAGTCAAAACGGCATTGCCAGATCATATCTACGTCTCTATCAACTACGATCAAACTCAGCTTAGCAAGTCTAGCAAAGGATAACATCAAAACCACTCCACAACAAACCCATTTTTCCCCCACCCGGCAACCAATCGTACGCCGTTTGTATGATCAAACATACCACACTTCAAGGTCTAAGTTCAAAATCTTCATAGAAGCAAATTTCAGACTGGATTGTTTGAGGAGCTAAGTTCCTAATTTAAAAATAACGCATATATTCGTTTGGATGTAGAGGCCGAATAAAAAAATACTCAAAAAAAAATCAAACATACCATCCATCATCTACTTTCCGAACAAACGATCTACGCCGCACAATTCATCTACTCTGCAAACGATCTACCCCGCGCAATCATAAGTACCATCATCCTCCTATTGCTACGCACATCGTAAATTCACGCACATGGTAGATCTCCTCTCTCTCTCTCTCTCTATTTCTCTCCATGATCTTCTCCTCGAGATGCAGGGGGGGGGGGGGGCATCACGCAGGCGCTGTCCGTTTTCGCGCAACTGTTTGGAATGCTCCTTGAGGCAGTGGCAGCTAGCTCCAAAGGACAGGCAGGCAGGCAGGCAAACACCAGCGATCCATCGATCCGTCGTCTCTCTTCCCCACCCCCCCACCTGCTCTCGCCGTCGCCATTGCCGGCCACACCGACCCCACACCTCGGATTTTGGCTGCTCCCTGGCCTCCTCGTCCCACACGCCCTAGCTCATCCCCCCCCCCCCTGCCTTCGGATTATTATCAGTGCCGGCCATTGCTAGCTGCTCGATCAGTCACTCACTCACTGGGTCACTGCCATTGCCATGCATATGCATCCAAGCCTCAGCTGGTTGATTTAATTGATCTTGTTTTTCTATTTTTGATTTCTTTCATGTGATGGAATTTTTACCTGTGGCTGGATCCTGGATGGATAGTGGCTAAGTAGCACGTGATCAGAAACTCTGGGGTTTTGTTGTTCCTGAGCACTGTAGCATTTTCAGGTTGGCACCAGAAAAATGCAAGTTGGTATGCTTGTGTATATAGTTGCCACGGTGTTCGCGAAAACCTTTTTTTTTCTTTTCTGTAAGTGTTTTGGGATGGAGTGAAATCTTTTTTCATAATATGTATTTGTAACTATCTAACCACAAGTTTTTAAATCATATTTCATGGCCCTTTTTGAAACTGAACCTTTTGGTCACGTCAATAACCACTGAATGGCATACTGCCACACGATGACGGATGCCGTGGCCAAAACCTTACCACTCAACTGGGTTCAAATTATACGCTCAACTTAAATAATACCACCCTTCTCTAGTGAATGTTTTTTTTTCTTTTAAACAAGAGCCCAAATGGTTGTTAAAAAAGAAAACAAGATACTGGGGCAGAGCACATCCAACTGACAGTCGCTTATAAACTTTGTCGAAATGATGAATCTTGTAATTAAGTTGTTGTAGGCCAGGTATGCCTGCACAAATTGGATCACCGAAAACAGAGCTTTGGTTTGTTAATTAGGCAGTTCTTGTATATTAAGCAGGATCACCGACCACAGACACAAAGAAACCGGCAAAAGAAGAGGAATGCCGTGTGGAAGGTAGACAAAAAAACCACACTAAACTCTTTTTTCTTTCCTTCTCCAAATATTTTTTTTCCCTGAATTTTCTTCTTCTCGTATAGAAGACATGGAATAAAACCTCTATACAATTACATACACCAGAAGCCATAGGCAAGGCAACAAAAGAAGGGGCAGAGAGTGGGCCCCACGTTGCTGTGTGTCATCAAATCTTAAAAAAGGCTGGTCTGATCCGGTCTGTTAAGGAGGGTATTCTTGGCAACCTGGGTGGGGCGCCAAGGCACAGTCTAGGACAAAAAGTTAGTGCTTCTTGGCTTTTTGTGTCACTTGGCATGGGCTATACACAGGAGGGGGAGGTGATGGTGGAGAGGGGGGCATTTGGGTCAATTTGGACAATGGAAGAGGGGGCTAGGGGCCCGTCGAATCGGGTGGATGTGATGAGAGCGGGCGGAAGATCAATGGCGCTCCGTATTGCGGGTATAGGAGCATCAGCACTGTCGGGGCATGTACGTAGTTCGGGGATGTCCTGATCTCGAACCGCTGGAGGAGGATGGCCATCGTGAGCTTGGCCTCGAGGCGCGCCAGGTTCTGGCCTACGCACATCCGAGAGCCTAGCCCGAACGGTATGAACGCCAGCGGGTGCTTCGCCGCCTTGGACGCGCCGTTGGCGAACCTTGCCGGGTTGAACTGAGACGCGTCCGGACCCCAGTATCTCGTGTCGTGGTGGATGGCCATGATCGGGACGAGCAGCTCCATGTCCCGCGGGATCATGCACCCGTCCGAGAGCTGGACGTCGACCTTGGCTCGGCGGATGGTGGCGACCGCCGGCGGGTACAGCCGGAGCGTCTCGTTCATGATCATGCCAAGCTGTCACATGACAAGGAATGAACGTATGTTAGCTTGTCAAATGACGAGAATGCCCTTATGCAAGGCAAAATTCGGAGGAGAAAAAAAAGGCATTGAATTTGGAATCGAGGAGGTGGTGGTGGCCTACCGTTTTGAGCTTGGGGAGGTGCTCCTTGGAGGGGAGCTCGCCGGCGCCGCAGACGTCGAACACCTCGCGGCGAGCTCGCTCCTGCCAATCCGGGTGCATGGCGAGGAGCACAGTGGCCCACGTCAGGAGGTTGGTCGTCGTCTGCTTCCCGGCGAAGAAGAAGGTCTTGCATTCCTCCAGCATGTCCTCCACGGGGATCGCCGCCGCCGGGGAGTTCTTCTCGCCGCCGGCGTTGCCGCGGGTGGCGGCGGCGGCGCCGGCATTGATCATCAGGCCGAGCAGGTCGCGGAAGCTGCCGTCGTCGGCCTTCTCGCCTTGCTCGGCCTCGTCGCTCCGCCGGCCAATGAGCCGCATCAGGCTCCGCCGTATCTCCCTGTCCAGCCGCCATGACAGCCGGTTCTTCTTGGTCGGCAAGAACCTGCGAGAACGCGTGGTTTTCTTGGTCAATTCGGGGTCGGATTGGTTGGAGATGGGATGGATCAATGGCGGCGGCGAGTGACGTACCGGTAGCCCGGGACGAGCACCTTGCGGAAGGCCTCGGAGGCGAACGCCATGAGCTGTCCCTGCATGGCGAACACGACGCGGCCGTCGTCGTAGCTGCGGCCGAACGTGGCGCGCGTGATGGCCTCCTCCGTCACCGCCTGGAACCACTCCGCCACGTCCACCTCCACCTCGCCGCTCCCCCCGGCCTCCGCCATCGCGCCCCACTTCGCCGCCAGCGCCGCCACCGACTTGCCGACGTGCGGTATCAACCGCTGCAGCAGCAACAACAAACACAACATGAAACTCATCCACGAGCCCGCCCGCGCGCGCACGCCATGGACGAACACGAAGAAGCAGAGGAGGTAGGAGGTAACACGTACGTTGAGGTTGTCCGGGTAGAAGGCGTCGGTGAGGACGCGGCGGTGGAGCGCCCACTTGTCGCCGTGGAGGCTGACGAGCCCGTCGCCCTCGAGCTGGCGCACGACGGGGTGCGCCTCGTAGCGGTCGAACGCGTCGGCGCGCGTCAGGAAGATCTCCCGGATCAGCTCCGGCTCCGCCACCGTCAACCTCGGCGTCGGCCCGAACCAAATCAAGAACCTATGCCCTGCAACACACACCCACACCATCAATCCAAGGCCCAAGCTCGAACACTTCCATCATCAATGGCGGCGCCAAGAAAGAGAGAGAAAGAAAGCCATAACCCGAGCTGAGCTGACAACTAAGAGACAAAAGCTGTGAGCTCTGGCCACAAGCAGACACAACACAGAGGGAGCAGGGCGAGGAGGGAACAGATCGAGCAGCAGATGCAACCAAAAATCCATCCACTGCGACGCCACCACATGTCCACAGAGCGCGCCGCGCGCGCACATGGCGGCGGCGGAGGCGGGAGCGAAGAACTCACCGTAGATCTTGCGCCAGTAGTGGTAGAAGGCGAGGACGCGGGGGAGCGCGTTGTGGGAGGTGGGCGGCGACATGGGCTTGGACGACGCCTCCGCCATGAGCGCCACCATCTCCCTCACGGAGCCGAGCAAGAACCGGTACGGCGGCCCCCGCACCCCCTGCGCCGCGAAGTGCGCCTCCAGCCGCCGCGGCCGCCACCACAGCGCGTCCGCCATCCTCGCCGCCACGTGCATCGTCACCCACACCGCCGCCGCCGCCGCCACCGCCGCCACCCTCCACGTCGCCCACCCCCACCCCGCGCCACCGCCGCCATCCTCCTCCATCCTCCTCCTCCCCCCCTGTTTCTTGAAACAGAGCTCACACCACCGAGCAGAGCACCACCAATGAGACGCGCTTCGTCGCGAGGTGAGGTGAGCTTGGGTGGGGTGTGGCAATGGCGGGTCGTGGGAGGAGAGGGGTTATATAGTGGGAGGAGGAGGAGAGGCCGGCGGCGATGGGGCCGGGAGGGAGGAGAGAGAGAGTAGAGAGAGAAAGTATAGAGAGAGAGAGTTTAGAGAGAGAGGGATTTGGTTGCGAAGGGTCAACGAGGGTTGGGGTTTGGCACTTTCTTGCTTAATTGACCACACCATGTTTGGGAGATGGATTTATGGAAGGTGAAGACGTGTTTGGTGACGATTTCACTTCACTTTTTTGTTTTTCGAATAAGAGGTTTCACTTCACCTTTTTGTTTTTTTTTCAAGTTTGTTAAATATTGGCAAACTTTTTGGAAAAGGAATTCTTGGTTCGTGAGAACCAATTCGCCTCCTCATGTTTAGTGTTTTGTTTTCTTTTTGCATGTGATCTTTGGAAAAAGGGCGCACACACGCTTTGGTTTTGGAAAAATTTACGCGCGTCTTCTATGTGATCGGCAGTAAAAGAAACTAACATATTACTCCTTTTATATCTCATGATATAAGACGTGATCAAAATTAGCACGATCTCTAAAACTAATCTTTAATTTATAATTTTTCATATACTATAAGCTTTGTAGCAATAAAATTACAACCATATGAAAGTAAATTTATATATTAATCCAATGATATATTTTTTAGCAAGTAAAATTTATTTCATATTATAATAAGTGTTGGTCAAATATGTTAAAATATGTTAATGGTTTAATCTTAAAATGCGTGCTTGTCTTTTATTATGGGATGATGTTTTGCATTTTCGTAATGGAAGTATATGACCTACAAATCAATTTGCCACTAAATAAGTTCATATTGATGTTCAGAAATGACTAAGTGTTAATATTAACATGTATCTGCATGACTTCTTAGTCATATACATACATATATATATATATATATATATATATATATAATTATATCTAATACATTTTTACTTTTTTCCATTTATTAATTTAATAGATCATAAATAAAATACGAGGATGCCCTTGTTGATTGGAGCCGTGATTTATTTTTCTTGACTAAGTAATTGAAATATTTGGAATAAGTAAAGAGATAATTTTAATCGATAAGTCTTATTTTGGTTTCATCATTATTTAATAATTCTTAAATTTATAATCAATAAAGACCAATATGAACACTCATCTCTAATTTTTATTTTCAATATTTATTACATTATTTTAATAATTTTTAATTTGAATTTGATAGTTACCAAGTTGCACAAGCCTTTCTAATCCAAAAAAGTTATAATTCAATCCCCATCTACATGGATGGAAAAGAGCACACCTATACTCTTTTTGTCAAAATTACCCGGTTTATCGTTGGCATACCGAGATGAATTATTTTACACGTCACTCTTAGAGGAAGTTTGATAGTATAGCTAACTATTAACTATTACTCCATCCGTCCTAAAATATAAGCAATTTTAGATATGAATCTGGACAACTGTGTGTCTAGATTCATAGCCAAAAGTTGCTATATTTTGGGACGGAAATAGTAGCTCATACTAAAGCTAACATGTATAATAGGTTAACTATATAGTTGGCTCTATTTTTTCTCTTCTTTCTCTTTTCTCTTGCTATGAATTTAATGTAAATGTATTGGATCAGGTGTATAGTTAGCTTTGGCACGAGAGCCAACACTTCTCATTCTTTTACTTTTCTTTTCCACATAAGCTTATAGTTGGCTTATAGTCCACTATTATCCTTGCTCTTAGAGGAAGCTTATACGAAGCACCAACATCTTCGATATATTAACTTGAATTTTGATTATAGCATGAAAAATGATCGGTCGACATACATATGGAATTATGGCATTGTCGTACGAAGCTCATAAGGTTTTTATGGGAAATATGCAAATCCAAGGCTGTCGATCCCTATTCAGTTTCTTAAAAAAAAACACACACACACACACACATTCAAAACATGAATTTGGCATATGGTTATATATAGGTATAAGACAGAAAAAGGAAATACTCTTTATCCGCAACAAAGTGGCTATTGGGCAGCTTGGCTTAAGCTCCACATGTGGCAAAACGAATTCATGGAAACCAGAAAATTAACTTTAGCTAGAATTTCAATGGGAACTTCAACATATTGCAAGCTAGGTTCAGCCCTACCCTTCATACAATTTTGGCTCCGTCCCTGTATTTTTTTTTTTGAAACTTAAGAACCATTTTATTTATTAATCAGAAGCTGAGTACATGCTGGATAGTACAGTTCGCAGAGAAGTATAGACAAACAATAAACCCAAGAAACTCAGTACACAATGTTTTTCTTCTCTATTTCTATTATAAATTATCATAACACAATATTATACTATATATTGATCAAAAGCCCAAAACTGATATATTAAAAACGTCACTTTCTCTCTCCATATAAACGTTACTACTACTACTCGTTACACAGGCAATTAGCAGCAGCACACAGCAGACAAAGGCACAATGGCCAATAGGAGCGGCGATGGTTGCATGATACGGCGTGATGATTGGCCAGATTCTTGGGAAGACGACCTCTCCTTTTTTTGGGTCCTCTAAACCTGGGAAAAGAGCGTCGCCTCAGCCTCACCTCCTTATTGGCCGCCTTTTCTCAAGCATTTTGTATGCCCTCCCGGTGACAGGCTACTGCTCCTGGATGGCTGTCTGATGGCGAACGGATGACCTCGATGTGCAGCCATTTGGTATACCCCATTTCGTGTGCGTTTTCTGGCGGCAATGTGCTTGTGTGGTGGTGATCTATTTCGTTTTCGTGTGTGCTTGTATGATTAGGGGTGAAAACGGTACTGAAAATTCCCGATCGGTCGAGCATCGTTTCCGTATCAGGGATACCATTTTCGTTTGTACCGTTTTTTTGGCTATTTATAAATTTTGTTTTTTTCTATTTTTTTCTGCATCATATTAATGTTGATATTGAGTAGTTTAAATGATAAAGATACTAGTTGATCTAACATCCTTTTTGACAAGATAACAGTAGCGGTAGCTAGCTAGCTAGCTTCATGTGATTGTGTAGGCGCGTGATCTCGACTGACCCTTGAACATGGGGCCATATGCTTCCGCCAGGGGCGGAGCTACATGTTCAAAGGAGGATACCAGAAACCCGGTCAAAAAATTTTTTTAGCTATAGTTTATCTATTTTCACCGTATTTACGTATACCTCTCTAGTGCAAACTTAAGCACCTATATCAGCTTAAATCTGGTCTAAAACAGAGTAAAGCAAGTATGTAGCATCCCTCTTCATTTCGTTCTTGCTCTGCCCCCGGCTTCCGTGGAGGGTAGAGATATAATCATTTTCATGTTATCTGAGAAACCGATGTCCTATAGTACATATTGTTTTTATCTCCTCTCCAGCATTAAATGACTAATTGGATCATACTGTACATGACAAAGTCATTCGTACTTATAGATAGGCTTTATTACGAATGCCACTGAATGAGCTTTCTCAAATTCCTATGTACAACAGGTTTGATCTAATTAATTCATGTACTCCCTCCATACTGATAAAGGGGAAGTCGTTTTGGACAGCGACACGGTTTCCAAAACACAACTTTGACTTCTTATTTATATAAAAATATTTATTAAAAAGTGATATATGTATACTTTTATGAAAGTATTTTTCAAGACAAATCTATTCATATAATTTTTACATTTTCAAACTCAACAACTTGAGAGTTATTCATGATTTTTATTCCCAAGGTTTGACTTAAATATTGTCCTAAACGACTTCCTTTACGAGTATAGAGGGAGTATATTTTTTAAAATCGACGCCTAAAAATATATTATAGATTCACCGATAATTAAGTACCATATATAGGAATATTGTTTGTTTCTGACTCGTGCACGGTACCTTTCAACTTTTCAATGGCTAAAATAGCTCATTGTAAATATGTCACTATGCCGGTTTTTCCTATTTATGCACAGTAAATCCACTGCTTTAATTTGACCACCCTTTTTCCAAGATAATGTTGAACACATTTTGAAAGACACATATACACGGTGCTTACACTGTTGCCCTTTCATAATTGCTAGAGCCATACGTGAGCACAATTGAAGAACTGTTTCCAGGTAGACAAAATGCAAATGGCACATTAACTCTCTGTTTGTGCCTGCAATGCCATAGCTCAACATCGATAGCGAGAGATCACAGGGCAGCCAGTGCAGCAAGCCTTATCTCTGTAGTTTAGGCACTTGGCACTTTATATGATCAATCGGCTCAGTTAAGGTTTGTGTGTGTGCTAGCTGCTACATGCATGGATGGTGCTCTGCTCATAATTGAACTGTTTTTCCACAGTGCTTAGCACCCCATATACGTGGAAGGATCAACATCGCAAATACAAATAATTTTTAGTTCAATTCTTTTTGGATTTAGGATTTTTGGATTAATTTATAGCAACACGTACAAGTTCAGTTATTCAGAATAAACATTACGGTTTTTTATACTTCTCGATAATTATGTGCTTCGATTATACCAAATAAATTATTAAGCTGTTGGAGAAAGACGAACAAACTTATATAGAATGTAAGTGTTAGAAACTGATCTTATTCTTATTTGTGTCTGGTTTGTATTGTACATGTTAGCTAGAAATATTTATGGATATAACATTTTCAAAAGGTTGAACTGTAAAAAATGTTGAACTTGAATTACTCCCTCCATTCCAAATTGATCTACATATAATTTTTTTTGAGGTTATTCCTAAATGATCTACATATTTGTGTTCATTCATTAGGTCTATTCGTTATTTGTGCATTGGAGTAAATGGACATTGATGCATGCATCCATGCACACAAGCATTTATAACCCACATGCAATATCTTGATTTGTTATTGGCTAGGAAATAGTGGGGATGGTGCATGCATTGAGTTTATTGCTAGAGTAAATATAGTATGAGAGAGTTATTAGCTTTTTTTTTGTCTTGGTGTACCTATGAAATATGTAGATCAATTTGTAATGGAGGGAGTATATGAAAGTACTTATGAGTACGTGTTTCTTCCTTTTACATTAGAGCATTATATACAGTGCAAAACATATTGAGAATATTGATCAATTAAAAAACCTGATAAATAAATTAGTAGCTCAGATCATGCCACATGAACTTTATGCTCATGCTTGTCCTATAACAGATGCTAT